CTACGTAAAAGCCAACAAAATAATACAGGAAGTTGTAATGGTAGGTCTCTGACAACGAATCTCAGCTATTCTTTAGATAAGTTTGACGAGCATACCAACAGACGATTTCGAATAATATTTTAATCCCTTGATTATATTAGTGAAAAATAAGAAGAGAACGCAGTTGTTAAATGTGTGTTCGGACGTAGCTACGTGCTTATGTTTGGATCAAAGAAACTACTCGCTATATATATCATACACAACTTTGCACAACTTGTAATATGTTCAATAACTGAAAATTCTATGTGTGTGATTTGAAAGAAAGAGAAAAAAGAACCGATAGTTGGTCATATTTTGTGTGTAAGTGAAAAAGAAAAAATCGACAGAAACTAGGAAGAGAAATACGACATTTTTTGCGTCTACTTCAGTTGATTGCTTCTTGTCGTTTTTTAGCTTTCATTTCTTTCGTTTACCATGCAACTGTTTGTCATGTCACTTGATGTGATTAACTATTATCGAATCAACTTATCACTCTCAATGAGAAACTACCAAATTCAAAATATGAGTTACTGATGGTAAGCCTGAATTGAGTTATTCAATTTTTAAAGTACTGACAATTTAGGTATATAAGAGCTAGTGCAAAAAAGTCACGAATGATTCTCACAGAAGTTGCTCAATCGAGGTTATCAGATTTTGTTCAATTTAATATATGTTGTAGAGGGAATCGTTTTAAGAATTTTGAAGCAAGCAATCTAAAAAAGTATTCTTCCGTTGTCGATATGTTTAAATTTTCCTCAACGCACTATTGCTAAAAAAAAAGTCTATTTTTTGTAATTTTTTTGTGATATTCATATCTAACCAAAAGTATATCGATTTGGCTTGAAATTTTCGCTGTGCATACATCTCAAGTTGGTACACCTGTAATAGAAAAATGAGTTCAAACAAATGAACCCTTGATGAGTTGATTGTACTAGCAGCCACACAACAAAATAGTCATTTTTCGTTGTTTTTCAATAAGACAATCTAGGTTATTCTACAAGATCAGGCGCATATTTTGGACGACTGAACCTTGCCAAAATTATAATTTTATGGAGGATCTTCTGAATGATAGGAACTATCTAAAAAGCTGAGCTTTTGTTTTTATCACCATAGATACTCCATGAGATCTCTCTATTTTGAAAATTTCAACTGTTCAACATGGTCCGCTCATGAGATATATATTTACAAAATACCGAAAAATGACAATTTCTTGTGTAACTGCTAGTACAATCAACTCATCAAGAGTTCACTTGTTTGAACCCACTTTTCTATTAGAAGTATATCAACTTGAGATGTGTGCACAACGAAAATTTAAAGCCAAATCGATATATTTTTGGTGAGATATGAATGTCACAAAAAAAGTCGTAAAAAGTAGACTATTTTTAAGCAACAATGCCCTCAGAAAAATTTGAATATCTCGACAACGGAAGAATACTTTTTCAGATTGCTTACTTCAAAATTCTTAAAACTATTCCCTCTACAACATATATTAAATTGAACAAAATCTGATGACCTGGACTGAGTAGCTTCTGTGAGAATCGGTCGCAGCTCCTTTGGACTAGCTTTTATATGCCTAAATTGTCAATACTTTAAAAATTCAATAACTCGATTCAGACTTGCCATCAGCAGCTCATATTTTTAATTTGGCAGTTTCTCGTTTAGAGTGATAACTCGACCCGATTATGGTTAATCAAATCAACTAACATGACAAACGGTTCTATTGTAAGATAACTAATAAACTAATATGTACCTTGATGACCAAAAGTCAAAATGAGGATTTTTAGTTTCCTGCTCACTTTTCTATCCCCCATCAGAACGGAATAATGTAGCAGGAGAAAAAAGAGAGGATAGAAAAAGTTGTTCTGTGCCCACCTCTGCAAGGAACTAATACGGTGCTTCAACTTTGTTGTACGCAATCTTTAACTATTTATAAATGGAACTGCCTCGGATCCATGAAGATGCAGCAGATTTATTCATTTTAATGATTGTCAGTCTTCGGTCACACTTCGTGATAGAAATGATCCGTAAATTGTTTGTCAAAACCGTAGCAGAGACTTTATCGAAAAATTTCTGAAATTGTAGAATCACTTGTTAGTTGATGGGATGCATAAACATAGACAGAAGAGCTGGACTTGGATATTTATATGTGCATGCAATTACAATATGTGATAAACTAGAATTTGTTGAGAAAAATGTTCTCTTATTTCAATCCATTGACATCAGGTATTAATAAAATACGCTCTAACCTACTCCAACTGTCGTTTAACTCGAAGTTAATATCAATTGATAGAGTTTCGAATTCTACATTGTTTAACCCATTCTAAGCTATCCTTACTCAGATTTTAGGAAGAGACCCACTTTTGACAAGAAAACAGCTATTAAGGTCAGTCTTCGATATATCTAAATTTATTCAGCTTATGATTACGTGTCTCGCTGCTCTTCAATGAGTCATTCGTTCTCTTTTCTTGAAATGATCTTCCCAGATATATGATTAAAGAAATGAATGCCATAGATATGCTATGCAATGAGTCATCTTTCTTTTATTATCGCTTTCTTTTTCTGTTTTGTAATTTGTTTCATATTCTCTTGCATATGAAAAGTGTCTTATTAATATAAGAGTATGAATTAAAATGTATCGTTGTTTGTTGCACGTCACCGTGCAATTGTTATCGTTTAATGAGTATGAGAACACTATCTTTTTTTTCAAAGTCGATATCTTGCCTTGTGCGCTTGTTCTACGTGGTTTTCATCCAGCTAATCCACCGATGTTAAAAGTATTGCTTATAACTGTAATAGACTGTTGTGACTGATAGCTATAGTAATTGGAAATAAAAAAAGCAAAGAAAACAATAATACAAGAAACATGACTCATTGTGTAACGCATCTATATCATTCATTTCTTTGATCATATATATGGAAAGATTGTTTCGAGCAAAGAGAACAAAGGATTCATTGAAGAGCAGCAAGAGACGTAATCATAAGTTGAATAAGTTTGGATATACCGAAGAGTAACTTCAATAGCTGTTTTCTTGTCAAAAGCTAGTTTTTTCTTAAGATCTGAGTAACGATGGCTTAGAGTAGTTTAGAGTGGCTTGAGGTCCATTGAAATGTAGACTTCGAAGCCCTATATATTGATATTAACTTCAAATTAAACAGCGGTTGTAATGGGTTAGAGCATATTTTAATAATATCCATTGATATCAGAGTAGTAGATAATGGCTGTGGAACGTTTTGGAATGTCTATGCGTGAGCGAAACTTTTCGGCGCCATTTCATTTTCGTTTTGCCAGGTTTTATTCGGCGAATTTGTGAAAAAGATTGATTTCAATTTCAAGAAGGCATACTCGTAGAATTGATTTCCAGCGATTAGATTCGGTTCTTTGTTGAAAATGACATAATTATGCTTTCGCAACAGTTCAAAAAATGCATGAATACTTTCCGGATTATTCGGATGAAGTTCAACGAGTATCTGTCCTGGAAGGGAACGTGTTGGAGATTCCATTAACAGAGGAAAGAATAAATACTCACCACCCTCTATATCAATTTTAAAGATATCGATTTTTCGGTGAGTATGATTCAGTCTTCGAATGACGGTTCTCCAGCTAGTGGAATTCGGTGGATGAGTGCCATTGCCGAGAGTAATCTGATGAAAAATGCAAGTACCATTCGGGCAAATGTACTGGTTTTGATCGAAAGTATGGATTTCACAATGTGGAACAATTTTTTTCATATCTATTTCAAAGCTAAAATCACCGTTGGATCCGGCACTGTACACCAAACAGTCGGGTCGAAATTTCAGCCGATAAGGATCACAGGCCCATTTACCACCATCACCCATTTTTCCTATCCGCTGTGCATGAGAGCAATGAAAATTTGGCTCCCAATTCGAGAGAAAAAAAATGTCACTGTTACGCTTCATCATGTTTTCTTTATCTTGTGCTCGATACACAGCTTTGCGTTCATTCCAGATGCTGTCGGGCTCACATATAAATTCATCACTTTCGGATAGAGACAAACGACAGTCACGTACGTAGAGAAGAAGCAGCCGTCGACTTAATTGTTCGTTCCATACGAGTAGAATATATGCGATGAGAAGAAGCAACGTAACCATAAATACAAAAGATTTAGGCTGCATGAATCAACGGAGACCCGATCGATAGAAAAAAATGCCTTGAAAAAGAGAATTTTTAGATTTACACATCGAAAAAGTGAAAAATGAATCGGTTTTGTTTCCGAGCTATAGAAAAAACGGAAGAGATGAATTTATTGTTTAAACACAAAGTTCAATCGGGCAGCGGTATTTTGCACACTCTAATAAAAACTTGCCATTGCGGTTTTTTTAGGGACCCAATCGTGGAACTCACAAGGTGGAAAAAGCGAGACTTCAGTTTTTTGGAGTACGAGTGAAGTACAATGAAGTACGCACTGTAGAAGGCTCGCTTTCTTCCTCTTGGAAATGGTGCGACATGTTGATTCTTGTATCTTTTTGATAAACACGTTTCGAAAAGGATATTTTCTTGTCTTTTCAACAGCGTATGATTTATATTTATCATAAATTCATGAATAAAAGCAGACGAGAAAAAAATAGAAGCATTAACATGATAAATTTGTAATTTTTCTATGAACTCGTTGAAAACATCTTGTAAAACAACACTTAATTAAGATGAACTGTCGTGAGCACGATATTTTTGACTATAGTCCGAACGATCAAACGTCCGAGTAAAAATTTGATCTTTTTCTATTCATTTTTATTTCACGATTATGTGTTTTGATGCTTTTCATGTACTATAGACTAATATGGATTGGTCATGTCTCTACCACTATAATGCTCTAGTAGTTCTCTATCTATAATGTATATTTCAGATTTTCATCTCTGTGTACTAGTGCACTATCGCTGTATAATTTCAAGTATAGCGATTTTCAGAGGTTATTACAAGTTTGATTTTCATTTGCTTATTGTAGCTTGTTTAATATATTTCTTATATGGTACGCATACAGGAGACTATTTACTAACATATTCCGGGATAAATTTTTGTAATATGGTTTCTTTCTTGTATTATAACATATAGGATTCTTCTATTGGTGGTAGTCGTCATGGTGGGAAGAGATCGGGTTCTGGAAGACCTACAATACAACAGGAGAAAATACGGAAAACTGAAAATCAAGCTGCAGGATCACGTACACAATGGACTGCGTATGAAGCTGGTCAACATCTAATAGGATTACGTTCTGAATTATTGAATCGAAAAGGAGGATCATATAGTATTGAAGAAAATAAAATTGCATTATTATTTGTACTTGATTTGAATCTCGTGGATAAACGCTAATATATATACCTCCATGTATACCACAATTTCAACCAATAGAGTTGGTATGGGCTTATGTGAAGCGCTACGTAGCAAGTCAATTCAAGCTGGGTCGTTCGATGTCAGAATTAAGACAACACACACTACAAGGTTTTTATGGTGATGGTGATAAACATATTGGTGCTACATCAGACTTCACTTTGAAGGTTATTAAACATGTACATGACGTTATTAACAGATATATTAAAGAAGATGTTCAGCTCCATGGTACAGTAGATAAATTAATATTAACGTCTTCTAGTGTAGTAATAGATAGTCCTGATATTATCAATGATCAGGTGAATGAACTTGATTTTTTTATGGGTGAAATGGAAGATGAGCGTAGATCGTAATACAAAATGGTTTACCTTACTCTATAGACACATAATCAGATTTCATTAATCACTTCTATATGTAATGTACCATCTTTTTTATGTAACATAAATTTCACTTGGGCAGCGCATATACTGTCTTTCCCTTTTCCGCTTCGTTCTTTTAATGCGTTTGTTCTATATTGTATTGGTACATGTTATTAGATACTCCAAGTCATGTTGTGTGTTCCTATGTAATAGCACTTCATAACTCCTTTTTATAGTATTACAATAAAACTTAATATGAATACACCCTCAACTCGGACTTTTGACCGTTTGGACTATAGTTCATAGAAAAATTACCAATCTATCGCGTTGATGCTTCTCTTTGTTTTTCGTCCCATTTCATTCACGAATTTATGGCAAATATAAATCATACATTGTTAGAAAGAGAAGCAAATATCCTTCTCCGAACGTGCTTATCAAAAAGATACAAGGATCAATATGCTGCGCTGTTTCTCTGAATCTGAAGAAAAGTGCAAATACTTTTTAAGTGTGCTTCTCTTTTCTGTTATGACATTTCGTCTATGAACGTGTTATAAAAATAAGCTACATACGATTTAGAAGAGGAGAAAAAGTTCTATCTTTTGATAAAAGAATTATCATTCAGCATTTTTCCAATGAAGAGATATAGAGTCCGACATTTATCTCGCTACTTTTCCATCATACATTATTTTATTTTAAAAGAATGTAAAATAAATGAATAAATCAGAATTATAACAATTTTTATAATTGATGGACGCGCTCTGAAATTGTATTATTTCGAAAATGTTCGCATTTATGATTACTTTTTTCCAACCTCTTTGATTCATTTAACATCGTAAACTTGAAAAAGAGTTATTTGTAATGTCAGATACGTTTTCAATACACAACTTCTTTTCTTCTAATGATCATATATCTTCTACACATGCCATACCAAGCGACACATGATTTTACTCTTCATTTGGTCGAGTTAACTACCACATCAATCTGGTGCACAAATCGATTTAATCGTGTAGTAAGTCATCACATGCAACACTCTTTCTCTCATCGAACGTACGCATAGGCTGTTGAGTTTTGCCTAAATGTATGTTTCACATAGTTTATATTCTTTCTCTGTCTGTCCTATTCGTACTCTACTGGATCAATAATGATGACCCTATTGATTAACACCTACACTGACACTCTTTCACTGTACTTAAAACCTAACTCGCAATATTCATACTAATTAGAGTATAAAAGATCTGAATGACATAAATACTGATGTTAGTTACCTGTCGTTTCCAGTTGCTAGGGGAACACATCCAATAATTTTGAGGACAGGTGTGGGTGAAAAAAAGAAGCACACCCACACACATATCCTAGTTTCCGAAGCTCTGGAAACCACGAAGGTATTTTCAGAAGCGTTGCAAGTGTTCGGAAACGTTCTCGCAAACCATCAGAGGTTTGCGAATGAGTTCCAGAACGAATTTAGGCTTTCTAGGGAATTAATCTTTTTAAGAGAGCACAACCACTGATACACCAACTCTGCATTGACTACCACACCCACTACTGCACCCACATCCACGGACACACTCACTGTACGGCGACCTGCAGTAATATCCCACAATAATATCCACATCCACTTACTCCCACAACCACACATGCATCCATACACACACGTGTATCATCACCCAACAAACTCACACTCACATCCCATACTGATGCCAGCATCAACAACCGTACGAAAACAAACACTTACACGTACTCCCAAAGACACACAGCTATACCCACAACCTGAGAACTACAACTACACGCACTGATACCAATAGCCACGTTGGTGACATAAGATGATGAGACAATTTCAGTTAATGTCGACCTCACGACGAGGAGCAACATTTGCTTCTGTTGTGGCGATTAAAGGAAATGAATGATTGAGCTAAATTTAATCAGAAGATATGTTGACCTGCATATTTTTTGTGCAGGCTAGGTTTCACACAAATAACGTTTGCTACAAGATACTCACAGTGTAACAAAATTATGACAAAATTGTGCTGAAAGGAAATTCGAACGAAAGATGTCGGTAATCGACTCAGTAGTTTAAGTGGAACTCCCTGACTTTGGATTATCAAGAAAAATCAATATCATCAATGATTTCTATTAACATGATATTTCATATGCTGTAAATAATAACTTTCCAATGTGAGTTTCATTGCATTTCACTAGTGAATCTCACATTCGACTTTGATACGATAATTTATGCGGATGTGACTATAAAACCATTCCTTTAATTTTGTTATTTTACATGTGCATGAGCTTAGGCATTCTCATATTTTCCCACGTCCATACCATATCTTCAACGACATCACATCCTTTTGGTAGATGATTAACGAGGCTAGCATCACATCACCTATGGGTGTTGCTGTCATTTGTATGTGAGAGCTGGTGTTGGTACGGATGTGCGCGTAGGTCAGTTATTCGATTTGAATAACGAGAAGAAAAAGCCGTACTTCTGATTAGACTCACAACGCTAGATTCAACCCAGAGCCATCTGCAGACAGTCACCTGACCTGCTTGCCCAACAACATTAGCATGCTCACATGCAGAAACGGCAAGAATTTTGAGAATGAGGTGAAACTCAGTCGAAGTTTATGTATTACCCTAAACCAACGTATGACATACTATCCTGGTGTAGAACTTAGCTAAGTTCAGGTAATAAACTATTTCAAACTATTAGTTGGCTTTACGAATGAGGATGAGGGGTGTTTGCCTATTGCTCTTCTTCGTAAGGCATTCAAATATTAACTTAGGGGATCGTTTCGATGACATATTTAGATGATCATCAAACCCTTGTTATAGCAGCCTCATTGGCACTAAAATGTGGAAGTCACATATCTTTTTTTTGGCCTAGGTAAACTAATACAAAATACATTAAGTGAAAAATTACTCGTAGATTACAGTAGTTTTTCAAGATGATTGGCCGCCAGAGTATCGATCTCTTTTTTTTCTGCAATTTGCATAGAAATTTTTTTACGTGCGTTCTGTTCTTTCTTTGCATTATTGCCATTCGCTCGTTATTTTACATTTATGTATTTTGTTTACGCAAATTTAATACTATTGTTATTACAATTGTTGGATTAAATGGAAAATGAGGTTGTTGTAAATATCCATTACATGCACTGCAGCAGGTCTTAACACACTATTATACATGTCGATCAACTTATAAAAAACTGGTATTGATTATTATTTTTGAAAGTATGTGGTGATCGATTCATGCTTTTTATGTTGATCACATGACAACTGTGGCAAATCGATGTACGACTGTCCATCATTGTTGACATTTTGAATGTAAATTTGTATCTACGCAAAAGTCAAAAACCGCACTAATGTATTCAAGCTATTCAAATTTCTTTGAAGGCTTTGAAATATTCTAGACCTGTAGAAAAGACTCTGATATCGGTTGTTTTGTTGCTAAAGCCTACAATGCGGAAATGGATGATGTCGCTGGAAAACTTCTACTTAAAACTGGCAGTCTCCAGTTTTTTCGAAAATAGATGTGTGCTCCAAAAGAAGAATACATCCTGCCAAACGACGCTACATTCCACTGAAACTAAACCGTAGTGCTGCAATTCAGTTGAAGCTGAACGTCATAGTGCCGAATTTTGCTGAGGGCTGAGTCTCAATATCACCCACGTTGTATCACCCTCCCCACAGCCACAAGGAGTATTCAAGATCTACTACAAACACGTACACATACCGAAACCCACTAAAACTCATGCGCCCAGTGACATCCACAGGAGAATGCTGTATTCATACCGACTAACGTCATCAATATCCAGGAAGTCATCCTTCAAGCACGTCTACACCCACTTTCAAATTCTCACAAATATCACGACCGTCTGATACCTACACTGACATCCATATTCAAACAGCCGCAGACATCACATTCCATTAGCTTAACGTCCACTGATACCAACAAAGCCTCGTACATACACATGGGAACTCTTCACTCACTGTCGAAGCTACACCAGCAGCCACTTAAACCGGCAACATCCATACCCACTTTCACGCTTGCGCTTACGCCTATCTATCTAATCGCTCACATATACACACCTGCACGCTCACACGAACATCGACATTCCATGCACCAATCTGGCATTAATCAGTTTTGTACTATGCAATATATGTTCGGATCATCTGGATTCACAGAAAAATTGATTTTGAAAACAAATTTACCTGCATCCTTTGCACATATATATATATACATTTGTCATTCTCCTTGACTTCTTTTTTGCTGGCCAGCATGTTGCTCTGATAACTTGTTGCTGCTTGTTTCGCTACTAATGTAGAATAAGAAACGTTACAGATACATTCTTTTGTGCCGCTGAACTTTTAATTAGAAGTTGGGCGACAAATCATTTTTTCGAGTACTTGTATGCAACAACTGATGGCTTCTCTGTGTGATAGAATAGTGTAAGTTTTCAATATTGAAACAACAGCAAGTAAAAGTTCGTTTGATCTATGAAAATTGGCTCGACGTTCATGTGTTGAAATGAGACTTTTCTGTTTCCAAAAATACTTTATATTTGCTATTTGTGTGGTATGTTTTTTGATTGTATTAAGTTTGAATTCAAGTAAAAGAACTAAAATGCA